TCAGCTCACGGCTGCCCTGAACCTTCAATCTGTAAAAAAACGCATTATCTGTGAAGCGCAACAAAGCAGAGTACAATAAAGTAGGGTGTGCTCGCAATGGCTGGAGACGAAAGAGACACAAGAGAAGAAAAACTGCTCCTCTCTGGCAGGGTTGCGAAGAGCCGAACTGCGTCAATCATTCATGTGAATGGCTCCCTTTACACCCAGCGACCATGCCCAGCATTAGAAGGTTCCTTTAGAGAAAATTTCAAAATTGTAGGGCACCATGCTGTAAACCTTTGCCCTCACTATCCCTCAGCACAGACTCCCACCTTGAGTCTTCACTCCCAGCTTGGGACTTTAACAGACGGTTACTACACAGAGCTAAATCAAAAAACAAAGCCGGACACAATTCATAGCGACCCCTCCTTGGGTTTCCGAGGTGGTATCACTACGGAAGTGGATTGCCCAACCTTCCTTCCAAGGAGTGGCTGGTGGGTTTGAACCGCCAGCCCTCTGGTTAGCAGTCAATGCCTTAGGTACTAGGCCAAGAGAGCATCCCTACATAGAGCTACATCCTGGAAACTTCTAACCCAAGGCTACATTATAGGTACCAATTAAAAAGTCTCCTCAAACATCCACTTAAGCAGAAACTTTCTGAAAAGCTGTTTATCTCTTAATACGTAAAAAGACAACACTCCCCCCACCCCAGACACTCACACCAAGCCTTCCTGGTAAGTTACTTAAAAAGGGAATGAAGTGAAACCAAAACCAGCTACAAGAGGCTATATCCTAGACATGTTCAGAATCTGTGTGGGTGACTTACATGTGCAACATTCCTTAAAATGTGAAGAGGGTAAGAACCATGAACTATGTTCTACAGCACATAGCACCATTGTGGAGCAGTGGAAGTATCTGGCCAAGCCAAGAATGCTGCTATTTAGTGTTTGTCAAGCAGGCATCTGACGGCCACACTCAAAGACCCTAGTCAGCTAAGTCATTTTCCTCAGTGTATAGATGAGAAACTTGGTTTCTAATAAACGTGAGTTGGATGAGGATGTAGAGTTGAAATCCCATCATAATCAATCTGCTACATTCAGCCTATCCTATGGCTTCCAGCCAAACAACACACAGGCATATAGGGTGAGCATTTATTTACATCAGGTACATATACTCGTTAGAGCGATTAATCACGGGAAAACAGAAGGGCAGTATTTGCACAGGGAGATAGTTCAGGGAGCAGGAATGCAGAGGAAAGGAGGGAAGAGATAACTACAGGGAGGAAGTGGGAGGAGAGCTGTTACATTGTGGGGAATTTCAGTCAATGTTATGAAACAAAATATGTATGAACTGCTGTATGGAAAATGAATTTGATCTGTAAACTTTCACCCAAATTTAAAAAAAAAAAAAAGTTCTTTGTGCCCATTATTTGTCAGATACCATCCACATTCAAAAGGAGTCCTGGTAGCACAATGATTAAGCACTCAGCCGCTAACCTAAAGGTTGGCAGTTCGAACCCACCAGCAGCTCCACAAGAGGAAGCCCTAAGACAGAGGCAATTCTTTTCTGCCCTATGGGGTCTCTATGAGTTGAAATCAATTCAACAGTACGCAGTAACAACTTTCCACTCCCACTGCCATGGAGTCGATTCTGCCCTGTAAGAGAGTAGAACTACCCCATAGAGTTTCCAAGGCTGTAAATCTTTATGGAAGCTGTCTGCCTCATCTTTCTCCGACAGAGGGGCAGTGAGTTCAAACTGCTGATCTTTTGGCTAGCAGCCCAATGCTTTAACCACTGCACCACCAGAGCTCCTCACACCAGCAATAACCACATTCAAAAGGAGACCTGGTGGCACAACTGCTTAAGTGAAAGGCTGGCAGTTCAAACCCACCCAGCAGCTACTTGGGAGAAAAATCTGCCAACATGCTCTCGTGAAGATTACAGCAAGCGCTGTGGCACAGCAGTTCTACTTTGTTACATGGGGTCCCTTTGAGTTGAAACCGACTCAACAGCACCGACCACCAACCAACCACAATGCACAGACATGATCTTAGCTAAGCCACACATCCACCCTGTAGAGTTTTATCTTTCCCACTTTACAGCAGCAGATAGGAAAGCTCAGGAGTTAAGCCAGGGGCTTTTCTGCCCTGTCATCTACCTTAAAGTTTTCCTTTGGGAAAAGATAACTTCTTCCTCTCCACAATGGTGCCACTGGAACCCCTTCTGCCCTGTTACTTACCCAGAGCCCCTGGAGACAGACCCCTGGGCACACTCAAATACCCCGTTCTCCTCCCAAAGTCAGTCTGGTCAAAGACCTTTCATGGGTTAAAGACTGTGTGTGCTCAGGCACGCAGCGAAGGGACCATTCAGAGGACCGGGGAAATGACCACAACTTAGTTCCTCCCCAAAGAGCTGCTGAACCTCAGCTGGGAACAGCTGGGAGGCAGTGGCAGTTAACAGGAAATCAAACGAAAAGCACAGAGCGTACCAGGGAGAGTTAGGCAGCTAGAACTCAGAGGCCAGGGGACAGACAGGAAGTTGAAGTTAGAAAGAACCTAGGCCAGCAACTTAGAGGAGGAGACGACCCAGCTGGCCTTCCTCTCAGCCCAAGGAGAAGGAAACCTGGAAACCCAGCAGAGAAAACTCAAGTCCCACGGGCACGGAGGCCAGACCACCGTTGAAGGCTTCAGCTGAACTCAGAAACTCACTTCTGTCCCCTCTCGTCTTTCGGGGCCAGAGGCCACAGCCCAGACAACTGGTTTCAAGTCACTGCACCATCACTCTGTCCCAAAGTGCCACACTGCCAACTACACTCAGGGGCCTGCCAAACCAGCCTCACACAGAGACAACAGCACCTGCATGACAAATTACCAGCAATACCCTGCAGCAGCCCGGGAATAACAGTCAAAGCAAAAGAGCCAGCAGGGCTGATGCCTGCAAGGGCAAGGTAAGCCTCTGGAATCAAACCGAGCAGTTTGCAATCCAGAAAGTTCTGTGAGCAATGGCCAGCCGCCAAAACATTTTGGAAAGAAATGGGAAAAAAAAAAATGCCATTAGTAAAATCCTTTGGTGTTATTTAATAATAAGACTTTAGGTTATCCAAACTGAGGGCAAAAGGGAGACTGTTTTATTTTTCTTTTAGCAGAGCTTAGGGGAGACCTTTCTGGCCCAGGCCTCCTGTGAGTCAAGCATCCATTCTTGCTGTACATTCATAAGTTTATATTAAAATAAAGAAAAGGATTTTGTTCTCTTAATAAATCACATTCCTGTCTGTCACCTCTCAAAGTGTAACACATGCTGTGATCTGGCTGGGTCTGATTCAAAATTTGAGACTGAGTAAGCAGGGTGACAACACTCCTGGTGGCACAATGGTTAAGCACTCAGCTGGTGAGTGAACTGGTCCGGAGCTCAGACTCACCAGCCAATGCTCAGGAGAAACATGTGGCAGTCTGCTTCTATAAAGAGCACAGCTTTGGAAACCCCATGGGGCAGTTCTACCCTGTCCTACAGGCTGCTATGAGTTGGACTCAACGGCAACGGGTTTCGTTTTTTCCTTAAAGCAAGGCGACAAGGGGGCACAGGGCTGCTACCACAATTTCATTTGTTCTTACTAAAAACAGAACATCCTCCCAGGCTCAGTGCCAGCCCAAACAGGCAAGACCAGAGACTCAGAGCAGACCCAGAGTCTGATCAATGTGCCATGAAGTGGGATGGAAGGAAGAACTGTGGCACATCATCAGGGAAACCTTTGAGAAAGGAAATGGGAGGGGGTGCGTTTCAGGAACATAACAAAGGAACAAGTTGATGAATTACTTATTCCAGGGGCGAAAACGCCCTCCAGAGCCAAGTATCTAGTGTTTTCAAGTCAGGCGCTGCGGATGTTTTAACTTGGGGCTCACAGAGCTCCCCAAGAGATAAACAAATGAAGAGCGGGGGGGGGGGGGAATATCCCCACTCTTCCTTCCGGAGCTCTGGAGTCTCCCAGGAAACTGTGCCTGAGCGGCTGCCTCCAAATCCAAGCCAGTTACTCCCCCAAGAACCCTGCTCCGTGTTGATCCTAGCACCAGCCTGGGCAGGGCTGCTCCAGCCACTGGCCAGTCCGAGCGCTGGCGCTGAGCACGTAAGTTCCCTGGAGCAAATGCCTAACAGCCACACAGGGGGACGGAGGGAAGGTGGAAAGCCTTGTCAGCACTTGAAGGCCCGGCATTTTTGTGACTTCGAGAACAGAGATCGCCTGCCAGAGCTGGGCCACCCACATGCAAGACCGGTGTCCAGGCCGCCGGCCGAAACCCTGCCTCATCCTGGTATACTGTTTCAGGGCGACTGGGGCACCCTCCACTTTGCCAAGAGGATAGATTGCACCTTCAACAGCTGTGGCTCCAAAAGGCTTCCAAGGAGGCACCCAGGGGGCTCCCTCCCAAGATGCGCCCTCCCAAGATGCGGAAGGGCCCCCGGAGGAGCAGCAGCAAACTCAAGGATGTACTGAGTCTCCAGAAGACACATCCCTCCTATCTCGTCCCACGCCCAGGACAGCTCCGTGTGGCAGACACGACTCTTTAGTATAGAGACGGGAACCTGGGCTCCCAGGCGTTACACAACCATGAAACCAGACAGCCCAGACTCAAGACACCAGTGACAGGTGGCTGTGCCCCCTCCTCCACACCGCTGGGGACACACAGCGTTTGGGGAAGGGGTCGAGGGTCAGTGGACATAAATGGAGCCCTGTCCCCACCCCTCTTTCTGGTCCCAGATTCGTGGTTCCCGTGGATGCCCACATAGAGGAGGGAATGGGGAACGCGGAGCCGGAAGGACTCAAGCCGGCCTGACGGGGAGAGCCCCACCGGCCTCACTCTGTCTCTCTTTCCCTGGGGCCCCCAGACCCTAAAACCCTCCCGAACAGGGTGGACCCAAAGGAAACCCGCGAAGCCTGGGGGCCCCAGAGGCCCGGCCCTCCTCGGTATTTTCGTCCCATTAGGAGGCCCCGGTCGCGCGGCGGGGCCCGCAGGGGTCGCAGGCCCTACCTGTAGGCCAGGGTCATGCACTCGAAGAGCTTGGTGAGCGAGGCGTCAATGGAGAGGTGGCAGGAGCTGGTCTTGCCGAAGCTGTAGGTCTGGCACGTCTGCTTATTGACCGTGTCGAAGTCGTAGCCCTTCTTGGGCGGGTGCTCGCGGTGCGGCGACGACACCATGAAGTGGCCGCTGTGGATAATCTGCTGGCGGCGCGGAGGCTC